GGGGGGGGGGGGGTCCCCTGGCTTCTTTTGCACAAGAAATGTTAGCCGGTTTTGCTGAGCAGGATTTTTTTGGGGGAGAAATTGCTCGATAAAAAATCGATAAAACCAGGAACAATGAACATTCCGGAACAACCGGGAACATCCAGGAACATCAAACAATTATGGTAAAAATGAGAAAAATATGTAACATTAAATAAAGAAATAACCATAAAAGATAATTAAAGAAAGCATAATAATTACAAAATAAATAAATAAATAAATAAATAAACAAACAAACAAACAAAGAAACAAACCGGTGTTCCTGGCCCAGTATAAATTCCCCTTCAGGTTCATGTTTACGGGCAATAAAGTGCGATAACTTGTTGTTGAGCGTATTTTAAATGATGATTTGAGTGGTAGAAAATAAGCCTTTCCTTTTCTTTTCTTTAAACCGCCCCTTTGGCAGGATCTGAAGATCTGCGATGCAAGTAAATTTATGGTGTAGACCTGTTGTAAAACGAGCAAGTTCCGTCTGGCGGGCAAGTCAATAAATCATCAACACTCGCCGGTAGTTTAAATAACAGTTAGTTTACACAAGAAACTATATGCCCTGTAAAACCGTGGGAAATCGTGTATACGCTTGTCTTCGACGCAATGAATTGAATTAAAAAAAATCAGAAACTTATGTAGACTGTTTACAGTCCCACATTTTTCGGTCTACTTGAAGAGTTTGAACGCCACTATCTTGGTTTTCTATGAATGAAAGAAATACAGGAGGAGCACAGAAGCCCCTACCCCGTTGACAGGTACTGTCCGCAGCTTTCGCTCGCCAAGAACAGAACAACAGCAACAAAAAAACATGGTGGTAATCGATCTCTTCAACCCGCACACTGTAAAATAAGGGACCGTCATCGGAATTAACTGATAGCCGGAACAACCGGCGGAAAGAGATAAGTGGAGATATATAACTTGTGCATTCCCTCCCGACATCGCTACGTAAAAGGTTAAAGTTGAAAGTGTTCATTCATTGCCAGTCATTCGCATTTTTGCCCTTTTTTTTTCCAAATTCGGAGCTGAAACTAGTTATTTATTTATTTATTTATTTATTTTTTACTTATTTATCTTTATGGGTTATTTGTTAATTTAATTTTATACATTTTTTCATAATTATCGTAATTTTTTGACGTTCCATGTTCCATGTTCCATGTTCCATGTTCCATGTTCCATGTTCCATGTTCCATGTTCCATGTTCCTTGTTCGTCGTTTTATCGACGGCCAGACCGACGGCCAATACACGCACTGTGGTCACGTGGTACGTCTACCACGCGAGGTTCGAGGACTTCACGAGCTCCCAGCATGCATTTGGACATAGTTGTGATGACGGCGGAAAGTATCATCGGTATTCATAGGTATTTCTGATAGCAATGATGGACTAATTCACCCTGTTCCACACAGATTCAGCATGTCGGCAAACGAAGGAATAACCCACGCTTCGGTTCGGGAATTTTTAGTGAAGAATAATGGCAAGGTGAAAAATATAGACCTTGTCCATCACTTTCGTCAACAGCTGAATGACCCAGTTAACAAAAGTGAGTTGTGTGTTTTGTTGTTTTCCTTTTCGCGGAGCGAAAATGTTATTAAATGCATCTTATTAAGACGAGCTGTTGCTTTCTTTTAGGCAAAGTACGAGGGGAATTTAAAGAAATTGTGCACACTATCGCTACCGTTCAAACCATCGATGTAAGTACGTGGTAAACATAATTTCAATCAGAGTTTCTGTTCAGATCGATGCGTTCAACTATTAGAATTTTCATAACAAATTGCGGTCAAACTTTTCACTTTATTCAGTCTTCTTATATGCATTGAGTGTTTTGGAATGTCTTTGTGCATTATTGCAGGTAACTTACATGTATCTTGCTTTCAACTTTTGATTACATACCTCTGTACGTGACATAATCAGCTTTTATACATGTCTTCAACAGAATATACATGTACCAAGAGTAAAATCTTGACAGCAGTTGTCCTTCTCGTCAGAGAGATCACTATACCATCACATAGGAAAATTTACCTCAAAAATTGGAAAATGTAAAAGAAAATTGTATCAGTTGCATACATGAAAATTACATATGCATGCTTTAGTATACATACATCTACTTACAATAATTTATGAACTATATATGAAATCTACTGAGTATGGCAGAACTCAACAAGATCTCTCTTTGCAGAAGTATTTTTGCAGGCGTGCATTAACTGCCGCTATGCAAATGTTTGTAGAGCAGCCCTTAGGGAAGTTGCATGTGTTCTTCACTGTTGTGAAAGGCTGTTTTTCTAAGCATTTATTTCATATACCAGGCTTATTTGGCCTTTGTTTTTTGTCGTGCATGTGTAGGGAGAAAAATATTTTGTCCTCAAGAAAGCTAAAGAAGCCCCGGCAGTGCTTCGTAAACCTCCCAGGCCAAACACACGTAAAGACCGACCAGTATCTCTCCCCCCTGTGTTTCGAGGAGCAAAGTTGGAAGAAATGCCGACAAGGGAGGGACCGCTGACACCAGTCAGGAGCCAGTCAACAGATGAATCTCCTGATCTTAGTCACCCAAATAAGGAAAACAAACCTTTTGATCGAAGTGACGGAAGAGATGGGAAACGCTTGGAAAGCACTGGTTCTGTGGACAGTGGCCTTGACAGTGATGTGAGTTACATTTTCATACAGTAATCTTCTTGGAATTAGGACAACCTGAAGGGTCATGAGTTTCTATTACATGTACTACCACTAGTATTGTTAATCTTTCCTAGTATGGGTTGCTAGTCCATCTTTCACAGTTTTCTTAACTTGATTTTTTAATTTGATAGTAATTTTACTTTAAATGCGTATACAAGAATGCTGTTACAGTGCAAAATGTACATGTAACATACATGTACTTGACCTTTTAAATCCTTAAACGTCTAATATCTTAATAGACCTTATCACAGTTTTCGACGCCATCTTGACGGGTAGGCAAAGTGGTCAGAAATTACAGTGTTTGTATGGGAATCCAATTGCAAATAACTTTTTCCAAAATTGAATTTTACACAATTTCTTAATAAGATGCTTAGTTAATTTGTCTAATTTTCCATACATTTGTCGGTAAATTTTTTTCCCGTGAACTGCGTCTACCCGGCCAAATTTACAGACAAATGCATGCAAAATTAGAAAAATTAACTGAGCATCTTCTAGACACGCTACATCCATCAAACTTAGTATTTTAACAATGCGATTCACAAATTTTGTAAAATTTGATTTTGCAAAAAGGTATTTGCCATCAGATTCCCATATAAACACTGTAATTTCTGAGCGCTTTGCCTACCTGTCAAGATGGTGTCGAAAACT